ACCGGATGGGACAGACCCGTTCAGGTCGGCACCAGCTAGCAGCGGTGGCAGCGGAGCCGTGTGCCACTTGGGACTGACCAGTGCAGGTAGGGGGAAAGTGCAGCTGAGCCCCTGCTGCTCCAGCTGGGCTCATCCTGAGGTTCATTTCATGTTTGTAAAATGCTTGGCAAGCCCCACATAGATGCACTGCATAGAAATGCAAAATATATTTTGACTTATTTGGTTGGCACCTTGGGCTGAGATTTTCAAAGCTGAGTCAAAAGGCCAAGTTCCATTAAAATGAATGAGATTTAGAGGGCTCCAAATCCTTTATGACAACTTTGTAACATGCCTTATCTACCCCTTTTTGCAAATCTCAGCCATAGTTTGGTAGCTCAGCCAAAGAACATAACAGCTTCTGAACATAAGAGCATAAAAAGTGCCATGCTTGGTCAGCCCCATGGTCCATCTAGCTCAGTATCCTGTTCTGAACAGTGGCAGAGGTGGATGCTATAGAGGGAGAGTTTTGAACTGGTTAGACCCATTTCATTGTCACTTCCTGCAACTTCATTGGTGTCAAAGGTCACGTGACATCACTTCCTGATGTGATACCACTTCCTGTGAGGTCTTTGAATATGGCTCGCTGGCCCACTGGGTGATAAAATGTTCGTGATCCGGCCCCACATTCAAAAAGGTTGGACACCCCTGGTCTAATAAAAGATATCATCTCTACTATGAGTCCTGATTGCTTTTTCAGCATGAAAGTATTTTTAAGGACAGAGTTTCAGGCTAAGGAGCAGTATAACGTTGCTGACCAGGAGGCAGTTGAGCAAGATGGTTGGCCTAAAAGTACTGGGTTTTCCTCTTTTTCTCAAAATATCACATTGTTGACCACTTCTAAGGTGTGTACTATCGATAGAAAAAAAATCATAGTCGTTATTTGGTCTTTTTTCTATAGAAAATACTCTTCACTTTTTATGGCGAGAGGTCATCACTCTAGATGGAGTGAAAATCTACTATAATCCATTTATTGGCTGGTAAGTAGTGTCTGTTCTTGGAAAAACCCTAAGCATTCTACTTTGTGAGAATTGTTTTACAAGGTTTCTTGTTTTGTTTTTTATATAAACCTGAGGAACATAAGATAAGCAAGAATGATGCTTTTTAAGTCAGAGCTAGAACTAGAGCTGTAAGATACTTAATTTCAAAGTACAATGTGAAACGTGCTAGAAAATGCCAAATAGATCAATCTTAAGTTACATATTTCAGTGTGTTCTCTGTAATTTCTTTTTTCTTTCTTTTTTAATTTTTTTTTACCTTTTAAGTAATCTGGTTTTTCAGTGTTCAGTTAGTTTACATTGATTTTTATTTTTGAGACGGCAGCCCTCTTGCTTTGCCTTGAAAGTTTTAGAATTGTCAACAGAAAACATGGTTGGGGGGGAGGGGGGCAGGAGGTACCTTTTTCCCAGGTAAATATGGTTACTAGGATTGCTTTAACAGTTTGTGTATTTTTAGAAGTGAATCTGTTTGTTCATGTACTATTATCTATAGTCGTTTTTCAAGCACTTTATTGTCACTTTTTGAAAAAAATACGTTCCCATATTTATATTTTGTTTAAAGGTGCTACCAGAAGAATTTTTTATATTATAATATGACTTCCTCTATATATATTAATCTTGCATAAATCTATTTTCTTTTATTCTGAACATATGTTTGATGACCAGTGTGACAAGGAAACTAAGTGCTAAGCTTGTCTTGGGAATGTTTTTGTTTTTTAGCATTATCCGTGAATATCCAGTTGCTGGGCCTCAGTGGCCTGGAGGAATTCTGGCTGATGAAATGGGTCTTGGGAAGACAGTAGAAGTACTGGCTCTTATTCTGACACACACACGACAAGATATTAAACAGGATGCTCTAACCTTACCTGAGGTGAGAAAACTGTAGTAGATTTTAGGGAAGATGAGTGAATGAGCAGTGCAAAGGTAGGGCAAAGAGACCTATTCCTAATTTAATATGCACATCTGCCTCTGCTATTTAGCTTATTGCATTCTGTAAAGCTGTAAAACTACTGTGAAGGAAGAGATCAGTCTTCATATTCAGTCCTTGATGCATGACTAGTAGACTGATACAAGTAATAATAACAATTTGTACTGTTTGTCATTTGATGTGAATGAAGAACAAAGGCTCAGTTATTTGAAAGTTGGCATATTGGTTTACTCTTAGAAAATGGGATGAGAAATTTATAGAAAATCTAATTAAAATCTGTATTTACTGAGGTTTATAACTGAAAAGAATGAAAGGTCCTGGGTATATGCACACATATTCCATTGACTTTGGGTTTCCTTTATGCATTTAAGTGCATAGTTCAGATCAGTGTATGCTGTGAGTCTTTTCTCATTGTATATTATATTTTAATTGGACGACTATTACAAAACAGTAATGTTTCTGACTACATACTCATGTTAAAAACTTATAATAGCTACTGCTGGGGAGAAGATCTGTCAGTGATGTCTACTGCTAAATATACTGACCATCAGGATTTTAAATATTGTAAAAATCTGTGTTTTCATAGATTTCATAGATTTTTAGGCATGGAAGGGACCTCAGTAGATCAATGAGTTTGACCCCCTGCCCTGGGCGGGAAAGAGCGCTGGGGTCAGATAACCCCAGCTAGGTGCTTGTCTAGTCTTCTTTTAAAGACCTCCATGGTAGGGGAGAGCACCACCTCCCTTGGAAACCCATTCCAGATTTTGGCAACCTGCACCGTAAAGAAATTTTTACTAATGTCTAATCTAAATCTGGTCTCCGTCAGTTTATGGCCATTGATCCTAGTAACCCTAAGGTTAGGGTTACTAGAATAGGGGATATTCCTAAACGGAATATCCCCTATTCCTTGATTACAATGACTATGTATTAATATTTCCTTTCCATCTGAACCCCAACCACCACCACCACTACTTTTTGATCCAGTGAAAACTTGTACACAGAGGTACTTTCAGCAGAAAAAACTGAAAGAGACCCACCCTAGAATCCCCAGTAGTCCAGTGTTTAGATTACTCTCCTGAGCAAAGGAGATCCACGATCAGGCCTTTGCTTAATTCAGACAGAGAACAGGTTTGAAACTGGGTCTCCTTGAAAAATGCCATCATTGCTGGGCTCTATAGTAGAAGCAGATGATATCTGTACTATCTTCATTTTATGTATGGCACTAAGTGTCTCTGTAATTCTAGCAGAAAAAAATTAAAATATTCTAAAATACTGTAATGAAGCATTTTATCATTTCTGAGTTTTTAAAAATTTCTTACAAAACTATTTGCTTTAACAAAATATTGTCTGTCCGAAAATTACATGTTCCATAAACAAATAATTTGTCAAAAATCTGCTCCTCTGTACTGACAACTTTGCTACTTATTGTGGTATTGATGCCTTTCACATCTTCTTCCACTCTTACTCCATTGGGCTGGTGCTCAAAAATGCCCATATGGAGAAAGCGTAGGGTAAACCAAATTGGGACTTTGAATGTTAGTGGAGCCTAAATATTATGTATTTACTGTTTTAAAGTTGCCCTGGATACAATTTATGCCTGTTGAATGGGTGTTTCCCAAGGATTTAGTTCTTTCAAATTCATCCCACAGCCGAGCAGCACTTATATTAACCTTATAATTGTCATGTCTTCAACAGATGGGTCATAGCACAGTGGACATGGGTCTCCTACATATTCTTGCACCTGGTAGTTACTGCTAATGAGAAATATATAGCCACACCGAATGACACCAATTTTTTTAAATCTGTTTTATTCAGAAAAAAACACTTCTTGCTGATTCTTAAGTTTTTATGCTATCTAGTTAGTATTGGCACATTTGTTTACTGAATTAAAATATCTCTGATTTTACTGAAAAAAATGGGTGCAAATAGTAGAATCCATAGGGGCAGGCGCAATCTACTACAACCAAAGCATGTTAGCCTAAGACAGATTTAATGCCATATCGTGTCTTGTAATAGAAACTATGCAGGTGAATCTCCACATTTACAACAGGGACTTTAATGAATAGTCTTTGGGCATATAGCCACTCTATATTTGTCACGCAACATAGAAAAATATGGACCTCACAAGGTCATCTAGACTAAACTCCTTCTCAAGGCAGGATCATTCCTGTCTAAATCATCCAGAAAAATGTTTGTCTTGGAAGAAATTGAAGTGCAAGCTACAGAGATTCTACAGCCTCTCCAAGTCATCTGATATAGTGCTTAACTACTGAAAATGCAAGACTATACTTGCTCCACATGCTGGCCTAACTGAAATCAGCATGGGTATCCAGTTATCTAGGGCTGAAACACAAGTTGTGAGCTGAACAGACATCCTTGCTGCTTCTTGCACTCCTGTTAATCAAAAATATGTACATGACCAAACCTAGTCATCAGGATTGCCAACCCCAGAAAAAAAAATTAACTGACAATCTGCAAACTTGTTATTGACATGTTTTTACTGATATGTGTTTTATGTAATGTCAGTGTAATTCTTTTGCCAGGGCCTGTTCTGTTGCCAGGCTCCACTTAAAAGAGTTGGGTTCAAATTTAGAGATTTAACAAAAGTTTTTGGTTGTCAGTAAAATGTTTGCCGCAAAAAAAAAATATTGGGTTGGTAGCCCTGCTTGACTGCAGCATTGGTTTTACACGTGCTGCCTGTACCCTAGAGGTCCCCTGCTCACCCTATACCCTGATGATCCCAACTGCACCATGTACTGTCCTGCCCCCCTCCAACCCAGCCCACCCCCCAGCCTTACCCTTCTTGGCCCTGCTCCCCCTGTCCCAGCATGAACCCCCAAAAGAAAACTGCCTGTGACCCAGCAGTATTACAGTTAGCCAGCAGGACTTAGCAGCAAAACATGGCTTGTGCGGAGGAGTCTACAAAACCCTGAGAAAAAGGCCCCTTGCAGGGTGCAACCTTCTCATTCAGACACCAGCTGGCACTCAGGCTATGCTCAGTCTGTCCATTAGCTTGCCTTCAGATTCTTTCCAAGCATGCTCAATCAAGTTCCAGTTGCTTAGTGTTTTACAGATGACTCAGGTTTGTTTGGTGTTTTTTAAAATTTTTTTACAGATTTTATGGACAGATGTTTTTAACCTATCTTTTTTACTGACTGTAAATTGGCACCCTGTTCATTGTAGTTTGTGACACATTATAGGAGAGGATGCCTGTTTATTTATTGCATGCCCTGGGAATCCCCCTGCAGGGGAATCCATTGCTGTTATATCCCCACCTGGGTCAAGTGGGGAAACCTCCCTGGTTTCACCCCCTGCTTGCAAATATGCACCCTGTATCAGGACTTGGCACCCAGGGCCATTGTTCCTCAGGATTAGGCCCTGAAGCCCTTGGAGTGGCAGGGACCTGACCCTGTGTGATGGTGACCCCAGCAGCATCATTTGTGTTTGGCAGCTGATCCGCAGGATCAGCCATGCCAGGACACATCCCGTCATAGATGATGCTACAGCAGAATCAATGCCTTTACTCAATATCTCAGAAATGCCTATGCTAGCTCTGGAAGAAGAGGTGATATAGCCACATTCTATAGCCATTTAACTCTGTAGCCAGTAAGAGCGAATTAGGTTGGGTACTGTGCTGTGTTAATAGCATTAAATGGCTTCCTGTTCTGGGGGTAGCACATTTAGAGCCAGCTTGGGGTTATCACTGTACAGCACTGTATTTGGCATATAACATATACTTAGATTATGGTAATCAACTGTCCATAGTAGAAAAGATTCTATAAGTTTATGCTGCTAAATAGAACTCTGTTAATGCACGGTGCTTATCATCTTGGGCTTCCTACTTGGGTAAAGGTGTGTTTAACTAGCTGCTGTAGGGTACACATAGCAATAGCATAGTTTCTTCATGTTATTACTGTTTACCCTCTCCACAATATACACTCCTATAGAAAATGACAGTGGTTTCACTCCAGTGACCAGGTTCTTGCAGGCACAATCTTAATGAGGTTCTTATGTGTTAATCAGAGACTTCATTGGGCTTCATTTGCTTATAAGGACTTGGTTCTTGGTTATATTACCTCAGGTTAGAAATTTGGGGAGCTGTTAGGTCCTCATGGACCATCTTACACTATTTTACTCGCAGAAAATATCTTTCAGACTATGACCCTAAGTCCTGCCTGGGTGGTTACATGCTTCTGTTTTTTATTGCCTACTGACATCTTTTTTCCCAAATGGCACTCTGATAAGGGGGTTAGAAATAGATTGGATGCTTTATGTCAGGGCTATCCAGGAGCTGTACCACATGGGCCACAGCACCCTCCTAGGCATCCCTCTGACTTCCCCTTCCCACTCCCACGGATCAAGGCAGGAAGAGGAAGCTATGGGGAGAGCAACATCTAGGTGAGACCCTGTGCACCATGAATTAATCCTTTGTGGGCTGCATGCAACCTGCAGGCTGCCAGTTGAACAGTTATGCTTTAGGGCTGTCCTAGAGTATATATTGCTTTGCCTATACAAGCAAAGGCTGTGAAGGGGCAGGATGGCTATCATAAAATCGTTAAGGATGAGCACTAGAATACAAAGCCGTGCAAATTAAAGAACAATACTAGCACAAGAGCAGATGGGGTAAATGAGCTGTAAATAAATTTAGGCTGGAAATTAGAATAGTTTTCAACCATCAGAGAAGTGAGAGGTTTTTTTGCTGGGGGAGGGTTTGGAACAGTTTTTCAAAAATTGTATGTTTGTAAACAGACTATATAAATTACACAATTCAGTTTTCTCCAGTTTCAGGGGACTGGGCTTGAAGATCCAGGAGGTTTCATACATTCCTTCAGTGCCCCTAATTTTGGTCTTTTATTTTCGGGTCTTGTTTTTTGGAGCAAGTGCCTTGTTTGCACCTTTTATAGGTGAAGTGATCCACTGATATCAACTCGGAGACTGTCCAGATGGGTTTTGTGTTTTGTTAAGATCATTGTGACATAACTAGTCTAGATCTCTCCATTTCATATTAGGTGTGCTCTAGTAGTGTGTAGGCAGTTTATTCAGCTTCTTTGTAAAAACGTTCTCATTTCAGACATCTGCAAAGCAGGCATGGGGGAGAGGTGTCATCTCATACTTTTTTACAAAACACACTTTCATGGAAACATCAAGGTTTGATGCTGCTTTTGGCAGAGATTTCTTGCAGTTTTTCTTTAGCTAGACACCAGGCGTCTACCTCCTTAGATCAGTTAGTCACCGTGAGTAGAATTTTTTATGCACAAGCACTTGTACCTAACAGTAATTGGAGTTCTTCAAGATGTGTTTTCTGCCTATATCTGTAGGCGTGCATATGTTTTTGCAGTTACAAAGTCTTGCAATTCTATCTTTCTTCAGTGGTAAAAGATGTGAATAGGTACTGGGGTGCTACTGCCCCTAAAGACTCTGTTCAGGGCATGTTTACTGAATATGTCTACTGCATATCTCAAAAGAACTTCAGTTATGGGGTAAGTATATATATTTTTTACTTTGTTAACAGTATTTTATGGGGTTATTGATTACTATGAAATATAAAATGTTTCATTTTTCGTAAATAAATACTTTTATCTCTCCAGTTGATAGTGTGTACTTATTCTGTTGTTAGTCCACTAATTGAAAAGACTAATTTTATAAAACTATTATGTTGGTATCTGTGACATTATTGAATTTTGTTTGCATTAGGGTAAACTAGTGAACTTCTTTGTTCCACCCCAACCTAATGAAGGAAGCAAAAAGAAAAGAGCAAAGAAAATAGAGCTTAAATTGAAGGAAAAAATACAGTATCCCAGTAAGTATTTTTGGAGAGGCATAATGTTTGTTTATAACATGCTTACATCTGAAAGATCTAAAGTTTTCTTGTTGAGTACAATATTGGCAGTTTGGCAGGAGCTCAAAGACTCTTCTTGACTGTATAAAATGGAGCAATTTGATTGGTGCTTTATTTGGCCAAGTACCTTATTTGCACATTCTGTGTTACTGGGCCCCCCTCTAAATATTACAGGTATTGTCCAATTAACTGGAGACTGACTACACATGTAAAATAGCTATTACACCATAAAAAGCTCTAGCTGGCTATAAAGTTAGACCTTGAAAATGTGTACTAACTGTATACTTGTTTGCTATCAAGCTTTAATTTGCACGTGTAGCATTGTCTCTCCTATGACTGGGAGCCCCATCATCCAGGTGACAGGGCTCCCAACCACAGCAGTGCATGAAACCGCCAGCCCCTAGATTTCATAGATGTTAGGGCTGGAAGGGACCTTGAAGATCATCAAGTCCAGCCCCCTGCCCCAGGGGCAAGAAGTCAGCTGGGGTCAGGACAAGCTATCCCCTTTCTGCACAACAGTGCAGACCAGTGTGGATCAACTGTGTTCAAAATAGTTTGAGACATGAAGAATGCACAGGACGCAATGACATCTGAAGGACTGTTATGCACTGCATCACCTTCACATTGTATGACTGCCACTGGGACAGAGGATATTATAAGGTTGCAGTAGTGATTATAGAATGGACAAATGGGCAGTATCCATTTGTCTGTGCACCTGAACCAGGATTTGAGTACTAGGGAATCTTGCATTTCAGTTGTTTCAGGTATCTCTCTGCAGGTTCTCAGAAAAAGTGGCGGAGGCTTACACATGGTAAGTTATGTCCAATAGGGCTGTGCAAAGCTTTGGTCACCGATTCAATCTGGAGGAGATTCGGCCGAATTTGGGGGCCGAATCTCTGAATCCAGATCAAAATGGGAGACCCATTAAAAGGTCTGGATCGAATCTGAAGCCTCCAGATCAATTTGAAAAAGATTTGGAGAGATTCGGAGATTTAGATTGGCTGGGGAGAGGCAGGCACATCCGGGCGGCTGCAGGTTCTCCTGCGGCTCCTCCAGCTGTGCCTGTCTGGGCAACTGTGATCCCAGGGCTCAGGAATGAATGAAATCCCCAAGCCCTGGGGATTGCAGCTGCCATGAAACCCCTGGACCCTGGGGATTGTGGCTGCCTCTATCCGTATGGCTCTAGGATGCAGGAAACCCCTTGGGCCAAAAGATCGCTGCAGGGGCAATTCCATCCCAACCTCTGGGGCCAGAGGATTGCTGCAGGGGCACCCTCATGGCTGGGAGCCCCTCAACTGGGGTGCATGGGACTCCCAGCTAGGAGAGCTTGCTTCTTGCTGCGGCACGGGGAGCCCAGAATCAGACTTCCCCTGCACTGGCAATAAGGTATGATGGGATCTAATGCATGATTGTGTGAAGCATGCATTAGATCCCATCATGCCTTTACATGCACGTGTAGAGGGGGCCTAAAGATGATTCTTATGTTTCTGTTATGTGTACTCTTGGTTAGTATTGAATGTCTTGACTGAAAAGTAATGGCCTGCGAGACAAGCCTGAGCAGAACAGTTGCTGTCACTGCTAACTATAATGCTAGACCTTAGTTTCTTTTGCAGCTTTGTAATCCACTTGCAGATAATACTGTGTTTTAAAATCTCTTATTTAAATGTTTTCTTCTATGTAACTTTTCACTGTATTTGAACTGGGGTTTTTTTGTTTTTTGCATGTAGGTTTACGAGTGATGATATTAACAGCTGTGAAAGAAATGAATGTGAAGAAGGGAGCTTCCATCATTGCAATATTTAAGTATATTAGTGCCATATACAAGTATGACATACAGAGAAATCGAAGGCTTCTTAAAAGGACTTTGGAGAAACTAATTGCAGACCAAGTAGTAGAACAGGTCAAAGGCCATGGATTGGCTGGATCTTTTAAGTTAGGGAAGAATTACAAGGAACAGAAAAGGCGAGAAAAAAACAAAGAGCAGGTAAACTGAGTTGAAATAGCTATTAAGGCAGATGTTGCATAGAGATGTTTTGCTTTGCTACTTGTATGCTGTCACAATAGTGATACAGTTCGAAGAGTTGTCTGTGAGTGCTAGACTCAAGGTATTTAGTTTATTTTTAGGGGCAAAAAATTGAAGCATTTACTGTGAAAATAGAAATTAAAAGTTACTGTATATGGACATCCCAAATGGATAAGAAGTGGATGGAACTAATGTAGGTCAAGTATGGAGACTAAAGACTTCGACTGGTAAAAAAGGCAAACATTGCTGGAAGGGTTGGCAGTTGCCTTATTCTTACAATCAAGAAGTTCTGTGGGAAACACTGAAAACGAAACTTTACGAATCAGAAAATATATGAAAGTTTATAATTTAGTCTGGTGTAGTTACGCTTCTTCACAAAAGAGCAAAAAAAAATATCTTACAGTGAATTATTTTTTAATTTTTATAGGTAACAAAGAGTTCTGAAAGGATTCAGAAGAAATGTTTGCCTGATGCTAAAACTCAAACCAAAGATTTGGCAAGTAGGAAAGCAGCCACTGAAAATGTCCTTAAATCACCACAGTTTGGGAACATCACTCCAGAGGAGCATGACTATTGTACAACTACCAGAAATAATAGAAAGTCTGAGACGGGTCATAAAACCTGCATCAAAGAACAAAATTCTCCAAAAGTTATAGACCTAGAGTCTGACTTGCGAGGAAACCTCCTTGTGTCCAGTGACACCACCAATTCTACTGTTATTAGTATGCCTAAAAAATCAGACGATGATGAAGTCCAGCAAGATTTCTCGGAGGGCCAGTGCTCAGGCTCCCAAGACCAAGTCAGCAGTGGTGTACAGCATGCCAGTTCTGTATATCCATTCAATACTTCTGACTACCGTTTTGAATGCATTTGTGGTGAACTTGGGTTGGTTGATTATAAGGCCCGTGTGCAGTGCCTGAAGTGCCACCTGTGGCAACATGCTGAGTGTGTAAACTACAAAGAAGAAAACTTGAAGTTCAAGCCTTTTTACTGTCCTCATTGCTTAGTAGCAATGAAACCAGTTTCCACAGGAGCAACTCTGATAATCTCTCCAAGTTCTATCTGTCATCAGTGGGTGGATGAGATCAACAGGCATGTGAGATCATCTTCCCTTCGAGTCCTGGTAGGGTGACTTTGTATTCTGGAAAATTATACTATGGTTTAGGGCTGTCTTCTCCCTCACCCCTTCTCTGTTGTCTGAGTGCCTCCCCAGGAATTTTAAGTTTTGTGCCCTGACCCCTTCTGGGGTAGCATCCCCATAATTAGACTGGGTCTTGGGCTACAGCAGCCTGTGGTTTAACTGTGCTTACCTGGCTTGATCAGTAACCTGCAAATCTTCGTTTTCATCGGCTTGTGATCTTTATGCCTATTCCAGTTATTGTTTGGAACAGTAGAAACAAAGCAGAACATGAAAGAGAGCTACATGCCTATCTCTCACGTAAACAGTATTACTGCCATGAAGTGAAGGAGAGCCTGTTTTAGACCCCCCAGCAAATTCTGTTTCTGTGCCTGCCTGGTTGCCCTCTATGAACAGCTCCCTCAGCTGCTTCCCATTTCTCTCTAGAGAGTGACCTCTTCATTTGTGTGGTGTACTTCTGATTTCCAGCTGTGAAGGAAAGAGTCTTTTAACTTGGGTGGTACCTGAAAGCAGCAACTTCTCAACTAATAGCTCAGGTCTTGCCTCTCATACACTTGCCGGGAGGTAGCTTATCTGGAAATCTTTTATGTTACTTTTTTTATTTGGTTCCTAGCAGCTGTACCAGTAAACTCTACCATCATGTGCATACAAACGAGCATTCCAATAACATAATAACTAGCACATCTAAATTAATTATTAACTGTATTTAACAAATCAATTACAGACTCTCAATCCTGCAAAGTCAAAAGATATTCACATGTAGAGATTACCATTGAAATCAAAAGAACTGTCCATGTATTAAACTAAGTCTTTACAGGACTAAAAGCTTATTTTTGCAACAGCTTTCATGAAAATTATCCCAAGTGGCTCTGTACAGTAGGCATTATCGTAAGCGGCTCAAGTTGCATTTCCAGTAGTTAAGGTTAGGGAGTGTTTTCAATGTTAAGTTTATGTTTTCAGTTGCTTAAAACTTTTCTGACATTAAACTCTCCACGCTGTTATCTACGCCAAACGGAATTTCTGCAGGGTTTTTTGTTTGTTTGTTTTGAAATTACAGCTAAAATAGTTCACTCGCTTCTGAAAACAAGGCTAGGAAAAATATTTTTCCATATTTAAAAAAAAAAGTAAAGATGATACTCTTGCATCTAATTTACTAAGGAGTTCTGCCACCCTTATCTCCACTTGCCATATTTTGAAGCATGGACTTTTGTCAGGAGGGTTAACTACACAGCATACTTGCTGTTTTGTGAGAGCTCATGCAAATTTAGCTTCTGTAAACCTCTGAAAACTTTTCTCACAAGATTAGTGGATGTTTTTAGTTTGGCAGCTAACTTTACCAAACACTAGCTGCAATGAGCATGCTCTAGCTCAGGGGTGGGCAAAATGCGGCCCGGGGGCTGAATGCGGCCCACCAGGCCATTCTATCTGGCCCGCGATGCCCTTAAAAATTTTAGAAAATTAATATTTATCTGTCCTGGGCTGCTTGTCATGCAGCCCTCGATGGCTTGCCAAAACTCAGTAAGCGACCCTCTGCCCAAAATAATTGCCTGCCTCTGCTCTAGCTTCTCATAGTTCCTATTCCTCCCTAGGAAGGCCCAGGGAGGAATAGGACCCCTGCTAAATGGGCAGAAACAATTGGTGACGGACAGAGGGGACAAGGCTGAACTCCTCAACGAGTTCTTTGCCTCAGTGTTCCTAAGTGAGGGGCACGACAAGTCTCTCACTGGGGTTGTAGAGAGGCAGCAGCAAGGCGCCAGACTACCATGCATAGACCCTGAGATGGTGCAGAGTCACTTGGAAGAACTGGATGCCTTTAAGTCGGCAGGCCCGGATGAGC